AACTTTTGCCTCAGGGTCACATCGAAATTCTTCACCAAATTTAAAATAAAAAATAAAATTCAAAAATATTTTATTTATTTTTATTTTTTTTTAATTATTTTGTCCCGGCCGGGCAAGTGACCCTGGGCCACTCTGGTAGCCTAGAATAATAATAAAAAATATAAAATAATAAATAATAATAAAATAATAATAAAATAATAATAAAAATAATAAATATAATAATAATAATAATAATAATAATAATAATAATAAAAATAAAAAAATATATAAAATAATAATAAATAATAAAATAATAATAAAATAATAATAAAATAATAATAATAATAAGAATAAGAATAAGAATAAGAATTATAATAATAAAAAAAAGACCATCCTGGCAGATAGACACAAACGGTGTTGAAGTCTCACAACTCATCCAACCAACGACCCAGGGCACAAGTCCGGTGCACTGATCCTCTATGGTGTTGTTGTTGTCCTGTTGTCGCAGTTTCCTGAACCTCTATGGAAATGGAGAAGAAGAATGTATTAGTCTGGACGATGCAGCCTCTCGACTAGGTCAGTCATGACATACCACGTTTTTTCAATGTGTTTTTTTTTTTTTCTTTTTTCTTTTTTCTTTTTTTCTTTTTTTTCCCCCTTCAGGGCAAAGGCCTTGAAGTATCACCATCGACTTAACTGGCCCCAAGTAATTCAGCATTATCTCATTGCATTCATCAGTTATGGTTATTCAGTATCGAACTTGGTTGTGTAATTCAACAGTTTATGGGTGTACTAACTGAGCTAGGCTGGTTGGTATAGCCTCTAACGTTATTGTAACCGTACGGCAGGATTTGGCCTCATGATCTGCTTGCTAACAGTTACGTTTTTTGTGTACCATTGAGCCATATGGGCTACCTTCTTCCTCCGAATACAACGTACGGTCATTATAGCTGTATTTAGACTGAAAGATACCCCAAATTCATCTATAATGACCGTACGTTGTATTCGGGGGAAGACTGTAGGGAAAATCCGAGCTTGAAATCCTTCGTGCTCACCTGTTTCTTTTCTTGTTGTTGACTTTTTTTTTTTGTTTTTTTTTTGTAGTTGTTGACAGTTATGGCCTCTACAGTTAGTTCCCTCCGGTTACACAAAAATGTCTTTGGGTCTCGGTCCACTACTCAGCAAACGTGCCAACGTGCCAAATGAGAATCAGCAAACGTGCCAAATGAGAATGAATCTTACGCTAGAACATGGGAAGATACAGTGCCGTATTTTGTCTTTTGTGCATGTGGTGGGTAGTGGAGGGAGGTCCTTGGTTAAGGTCTACTTATTCTGGTACAGAGCATGTGCCCTGACCGCGTAGATAGCCCAGTTGCACTTGTGATAGAGGCATTTTTGCACAAACGGCTTTTTTTTTCTTTTTTTCTTTTTCTCTTCACAAAATCATCCTCGGGGCTCACCACAGAGGGTGATATGAGCATCCCGCTGTGGTCTCCTCCATTGGACGGCCACCTTTCTATTGGTGGGGAGCTGCACCTGCTGGAAAACGGGTCCACCGGCCCTTTATTTGAACAAAAAACATCATCTCAGCATTGTCTCAGTATGTGTCTCAGATGAGAGTCTGCTTTGGCATTTGTACAAACGTGCGTGAAGTGAATGTGAAAGGATTCCTTCCCCTCCCTTTCTCCCCAACCCCGCCTCCGCTTTCTAGGACGTTTTCTGGCGGTTGCTTCGCGCACTCTTTATTTAGGACATCCGTCTGTTTCTTCTGTAGCGAGCTGCCTCGTTTGCGTCTCTTTCCTTTTTTTTTTTTTAAAGGGTAATTCTTTAAGCCCAACCAATTCAATTACCTGTCGAATCTGGACAGGACGGCCTTTCAGGCCTTTTTATTGTCATTATAGTATTACGGGGAACCCGTAGCAGCCACATCCGTGCCCAAGCCTCCCACGAGGGAACACGCGGAGGCCTTTTTATTGTCATCATAGTATTACGGGGAAGCCGTAGCAGCCACATCCGTGCCCAAGCCTCCCACGAGGGAACACGCGGGAGCTGCACCCAGCAGCAGGTGCGATACCTGCTACAGCAGTTGGTCCTCCTGGTCCCTGGGACTAAGTCCCACTTACCCTAATTCTCCATTTCTGACGGTAGATTAAGAAGATCAACGGGCAGAAATGAAGGATCCGGTCATGTGGGACCTGGCCCCAGAATGTCCTGATTCCTTCGCCCGAATAGAGAAAAATACATGACAGTACGGAATGTGATTTGGTGCCAATTTTCGCTGGGGTTCGACGTGCCCCTGGGCTGAATTCGAGCGAGAGGGACGTGGTGGGTAGCCCAAGTGACCGGGGGCGTGGTCCCACTAGCAAAGAGGATCGGATCGAATGGCTGAATCTGGACGAGGTTGCGGAAATGTGCAGGAAATCGAGATTGAACCGCTTTTCTGCATCTCTGCATAAAAGACATCCAGATTCAGGCATTCGATCCGATCCTCTTTGCTAGTGGGGACCTCGGCCCAGATGTGATGCGGGTTCCCGCGGAACGTACGTCTCAGAGCGTACACTCCTGTAACATATGCAGCGAAAGTAGACAAAAGGAGAACGATGCACCAACTGACCTATTATCTTTTTTTTTTTTTTTTTTTTTCTTCTTCCGGAAAGGTTAATTCTTGTAAGCCCAGCCAATTCAATTACCTGTCGAATCCGGGGCTAGGTCCCACTTGCACGAATTAAGAGACACTGACCGTAGATTGCAAAGATCAACGGCCGAAATCTCCTAATTTGGGCAAGTGGGACCTTGCCCCCGGACAGGACGGCCTTTCAGGCCTTTTTTTATTGTCATTATAGTATAAACGGGAACCCGTAGCAGCCACATCCGTGCTCAAGCCTCCAGCGAGGGAACATGCGGGAGCTGCACCCACGAGCAGGTGCGATACCTGCTAAAGCAGGTGGGCGATACCGGCCAGGGGTCAGCGGGTAGCATAAGGACCGAGCTTCTTCGATGGGCCAGTCGCTGTGCCTTTCCTTCGGTCCCCTTCCCCTATAAATATCAGTAGTCTCTGCTCATTGCCACTCAAGGGAACCAACAGCCTATCTCTAGGTGGCGGGCGCCAAGCTTGCCCCGGAAGGTACATGAGGCCAAGGGGAGTTGAACCCAAGACCCCCTGAATGCCACTTGCGTGCCTCACCGACCGAGCTACCGTCTTCCCCAGAACATAATGGACCCTGAAAACGAAAGTATACAAGGTATGTTTCCGGCCAGATACAGTCAGAATGAGGGTGCGTTGTGGTCGGGGGAAGACGGTAGTCCGCTGGATCAATGGGCCTATCGCAGTTGGTGCACCCCTGAGCTGTTGCAATAGAGACTCAAGTTCGAATCCACAGATGATCGCCAAAAAAGAAAAGAAAAGGAGAAGGATGTCTATCCCTTTTTCCACAATTAGATGCGTACTACCAAATTGAAGTCGATTCCTATCCTAAGTAAGGGTTCTGCGGGCCCATTGTCCCGTTCCGCTCTAAAGTTATCTGATGACGGTAGCTTACAGGGAAAACCGTCGCCGTCTTTTCGGGCAATTTCTTCTTCATGTWCTTCCTTTTTTTTTTTTTTTTCCATTTTGTTCAGGTTTCTATTTACTTGTTTCCTCCTCCGGGAATGGCTCTTTTTTCTTTTCAGCGTGTTTCCGCAAAAGATGGCAGTGTATCGCGCTCTCCCCTTCCCCCCCGCTGAAAAACAAGGGCCAAACAGGACACTGAACAATGCAAAAAGAAGAGAGAGAAGCACTGTGATGTTTTTCTCTCCCTCATCGTCCTACTCGCGGGAAACATCGACATGTGGTAATGAAGGGAAGCAATGGTGCATGAATGATGGGAAAAGTTGTAGGTAGCGGGGGGCAGGTCCTTACCTGGAGACCGTTTATGGGGATGTGAAATGTACAAGAAGGGGCCGTGGTGGGGCGAACTAAAGAGGAGAGAACCGTGTTTGACGGATAGTTTAGTGTCAAAAAGCCAAGAGGCACAATCAAAAGCGGAACAGAGGACATGGAGCATATTACAGGAAGACCATCTGCAGTGCGTAAACCGCCAGTGCATCGCTTCTTTCTTCCTCTCCCCCCCCCGTCGAAACAGTGCTGCTGGGTATTATTGGAGCTGATGAGAGCGTCCGCCTCCTGAGGGCAGATGGCTCCAGCCTATTGGTGGGGAGCAGCAGCTGCTGGGAAACGGGTCCGGCGTCCCACACAGCAACATATTACGAGTACTGCAAAAAAAAGTAATGGTCCGGATGTGCCCTGCATCCTTTTTGAATTTCCCCTCCCGGGTTGGAAATGCTCTGCACGCCCAGCTTTGTAGTTCGACATCTGGCGGGGCATCTTTTCTTTTCTTCCGCTGAGACCGCCTGCCATCGTGGTCCGGTAAGCCCAAAGCCCGGTCAAACCACCTGTACTTGGCCCAGCTATAGATGCCGAGCCTGAAACGGGTTGCGCACTGACCTGCCAGTGCAACAAAGAAAAATTGTTTTGGCTGGCGGCGCCAGCCTTTGAGGGCCGGTACCCCAAGCCTCCAGAAGTTAGTTGTGGGGCGTTGTCGGTAATGCCCCACGGCCGATGTATGGGCCAAGTACTGGTGGTTTAACATGCTTTAAACTGCCTCAAGCCTTGCAGAAAATGCAACTCCTGGCCTTCGGAAACTTCGGAGGCTTGGCCTACCAGACCGTAATGGCTGGCGGCGCCCGCCAAAAAAGAAAGAACGTGGGCCGCTGGCGGTTCGGAAAAGCTTGCGCGCAGTGACATGCCTCCAGGTCTGGGCATACTGGTGGTTTAGCGTGAAGGTCCTGCGGCCGATGCAAGGGCCAGGTACTGGTGGTTTAAACTGCAAGTACACAGCCCCAGCCTTGCAGAAAGTTTTTGTTGCCACAAGCAAAATTCGGAGGGGCAGCGCAGCGTGGGGCGCCGTTGAAAAAAATAATCGGCGGCCTCTGAAGTGGTGGGGGTTTCATGCTGACACCCGCGGGCCCATGTGTGCTGCACTGCTGCCTTAACTGCTAGGGCCATTGCCCTGGATAACTGACACTCTGGCAAACGTGACAATAGAAATTGGCCCAATCCAAAGATTTCGGGTGAACAGTGCTACTGGACCAATAAGACCCTGACCTTGAAGCAGGGTTGGCTCCAATAAGACCCTGACTTTGAAGCAGGGGTGGCCCCAATAAGACCCTGACCTTGAAGCAGGGTTGGCTAGCGTTGGTGCTAGCGCTCCCGAGTGTTAACGCTAGTGCTCCTGATTTTTTTTACCATGGAGCAGGCGCCTGGGCTGTGGGAAATTGCATCAGCACAGCTGCGACCAGCGCTGTGCAGTGCCAAATCCTAGGGTTGGGGTGGCAACGACAATGAGGGAGAAGAGGCGTGTGGGCGCAGGGTGCGGATAGCCTTGGCGTAGGCTGGCATTCCTAGAGGGACCACGAGAGGAAGGAGGAGATGTCTGGTGGTCTGAAGGGCCGGATCCGGGGCTTTGCCCCCTGGCTTCGAAAAGAAGACAGACGTTGATGCTTCAATATCTGGGAGATATCATTGATGTGGACCTGGAGAGGAATAAGCATGATAAGATGGGGCTTTGCCCATGATGGAGCTGTTGTGTTTGCATCCGGATGACACAGGGAGATGAGAGACGCGTGTCCATCGATGAGTGCCGGCTGCTGGGGGGAGCGATAGTTGACTTCAGCTGTGACTGGTATCGCCCACCGTTGATGACAACGTGCTTCAAGCTGCGATCGGTGTTGTTTAACGTCGTCGATGTTTAACTTCGCTGATGTTCCTACTTCGGGTCTGGTGTTGCTCGCGAACTCCCCATCCTTACTCTATGGCCGAATTTCTGATCTCCTTTTGCGGAAATCATCGGGTTGACTATTGCTAGTGTGGTTCTTTTGGCGTTGATAGTCCAGACTCCATAGCTAATTGCCGGTGCCTTGGGCTAGTGGTGATTAGCTGACTTTTTGGATGGCATCCTTCAGGACTGCTGAGTGAGGGTATTTGTGTTTTTTAGCTTTATTGCCTGCGAGTTTAATTACGGCCAATTAGTCATTTTTTGGAGTTCGGATGAGTTTAATTACGGCCAATTAGTTTTTTTTTGAAGTTCGGACCAGTTTAATTACGGCCAATTAGTTATTTTTTGAAGTTCGGATTACTGTGGGTGCTTGGTTCTTGCTTTTATAGTTTTGGGTTAAATTAGTTCACGTGAATTTGGAGAGCTGAGGGTTTTGGATTTCGTCGTTATTGCCTGCAAGCATGATTAGGGCTAATTAATCAGTTGTTTAATTTTCGGATCGCTGAGGGTAATAGGGTTAAGCTCTGATAGCTATTGAGGCAAATTGGGGTTAACTAGGTGTTGGTCTCTGGCTAGCACTATTGTGGTTTGGCCTTTGTTGGGTGTATGCACGATTGGCTATTGGCCTGTGATGCGTTGATGATTGAGAGTCTAATTAGGGTCCCCTCCCTAACTAGGGTACTTAGGTTGCCGCATACAACGGTAAGACGAGGTGAACTGATGTTTAAACCACGAGTACATCTGGAGAATTCCAATGTACATACCACTTCGGGCCTCGGCTGGTAGTGTCCTGTGCAGGCCACTTAGAAAAGCCCCAGTTCGAGACTCTGGAGCCTTTTAAAGGGAGCGGCCTTACAACAAAACAGCCGGGGTAAAGGGGGTAGTGGATGCAGTGTCCGAAGAGGATAGAAGATGAAATCAAATGAGTTCTTTCGCAAGTGCACGTGTGAGGGGCAACCTCATGTCTGGTGCTGCTTTCCTGTCAGAGTGATAGGGGAGGACCAGGGAAGGTGCAAAAGTGGGCGTGTGCCAGTGATTTTAGGAAAAGGGGGTCGGAGTTCTAGGTCGGAACTGGAATCTCCTACATCTGTCCCATGCGTCTTAAGCTATGGGAAGAAGAGGGCAAGCGAACCGTTCGTTGGGAGACTCAAAACCAATAAAAACCAAGCACACTTTATACTAAAAAACAACAGTGATGCAAGTTCAAGATTCACGATGGAGTTCAACCAAGTCATGAGGAGGCTGAACACTCTACAGTCTGCAGAATTCCCTAGCTGATGATATATGTGTATATCTGTTTGACGATAGATATATATGCATGTATAAGGGTTCAGCCTCCTGATGAGTCGGTGAAACTCCGACGAAACAGTTTGTCACAGCCCCTCGTTTGTTGTCCTCTTCTCCCTCTCTGCCTACGGTTTACCGGGCAGTTCTATTTGACGATATATTGTCACATGATATCAGAGCGCCAAAGCGAAAAACAGAAAGAAAACAAGAAAAACAAGAAAAACTGAATTCGTTTTTAATCTTCTTCCTTACAACTCCCCCTGTTCAGAACCTCTTGCGTACATGGATTCGAACCCTGGCAAATATAATAATGTTAACCCAGAAAATTAGCTGCTTTGCGACTTGCATTTCTTACTCACAAGGGTGGATCTCCCACTGTCCTTCCTCTGTGAAGTTTTTTCACTCTCTCTTGTGTGACTCCCATGCGAACCAGTGTTTCTGCCCTACCATCGCTGCCCAATGACTCTTAACTATCTGCATGTCCTCTGTGCACCATTCCCTGTAACACATTTCTTTTCATGTTTTCGCCTTCCCTCCTAAGTCTCCATATTGGCCACAAGTTCTGGATTTCCTTGAGCAATACCCATGTTGCATGGTCCTCTCTTCCCCCCCACTCGCCTATCCCTTTCCATGGATCTTTCTTGCACACCAGTTCCACGGCCTTGTTCACATACCTTGGGGTGTAATGCAAGTTCCCATAGTAGATTTTATGGCTAACCTGAGGGTCAGTCGTGTGCTACTGTTATTGCTTGTGCATGTTTGGCATGCCTTTGCAGGAGACTCCTCTGCTCATCCTGTGTGCAGGTTTGCTCAGAGGTCATGCAGTATACTCTTTTTTTTTTTTTTTTTTTTTTTTTAAGAAACATGCTCCCATCTATTCATGGTGAGCAGCACGCACTGGGAACGGGGCCCAGCGTCCCATAAAAGAAGTTTGCAGAGCAGACTGAGGTGCTGGGGACATTACCTGGCTGTGGCTGAGAAAACAAGGCTATGTCTCAAGCCAAGTCATGCTGTATACTTGTATACATTATGGATGTCGAATTACCATTGTGTTGTTGAAACCACCAGTAGCTTTCTCGGCTATCGATGCCGAGAGTCTAGGTATCTACTTAGCCAAAAAAACACGAACTGGCGCAGGCCTCATTTTGTATGGCTCCGCCAGCCATTTCGGTCCAGTACCCAAACCGTTGAGAGTTGCCCGTGTATCTGTTTTTCAAGCGGGCAAAGGTACTGGTGGTTTAAGCCACCAGTACTTGGCCCATACATCGGCCGCGGACCGTTGCTGTTAACGCTACGCAAAGTTCGGGCTTCGGGGTACCGGACCTCAATGGCTGGAAGCGCCAGCCAAAAAAAATCAAAACGGTACCCTGGCGCTTCGGCAAAAATTGGCGCGCAGGGGGATTCCAGGCTTGGCAACGATAGCTGGGCCAAGTACTGGTGGTTTAAGGTCGTCAAATGCCTGTAAATGTGCAGAGCGGATTCACCCATGTGCATGTGAGGTAAGTTGGGCCTTATCACATAAAATATAGGTGTTGCCACATCTTTGTGGGATTTCATGAGTTTTCTTTTACTTCGTCTGTCCCTCCCCCTCCTCC